ATTCCTATGTTTGTGAGTCTTGGTTCACCTCTATAATATTTTTACATAACCTAACTATTTCTGGCTACATCGTTTAGATCTCCTTAGATCTGAAGCGGTTTGAGTTTGTTTGTTACTTTTCCTTTAAGATTCTGCTGTTTTTCTTATTATTGTTAACCGATTTTCATTTTTCCCTAATAGCTAGGATTTCATCTTTTTAAGTTTCTGCAAAATGTTCTAAAATGTTTAAGTGTTTAACTCCGGTTTTCTTCCTTTACTTTGCGACTGATTTTCAACCCTATGTCTTTACGCCCTAGGGTCTCTAATTATTCTGCTTGCTCTAACGTTTGCCCGTTTATTTTGGCTCTGTCAAATAAACTGATTAATTGGTTTACTTGCTTAATTAGGGTTTGAAATTGTACTCCTTTTCAAAACTGATATCTCTTCAAAAGATTCTTACTTATTCTTTCCTTATGTGATTCATAATTGGTACTACTTTCCTTAATTATATTACTAGCCTGATTTCAGGGCTTTGATTATTGTGACCGACCTATAAATGGTCTCTAGACTTATTGCTTACCTTATTAAACCTCAATTCTGTCCGCTAATTGATTTCGTATGAGATTCTCCTTAATTTAAATGACATTTTTAGGATTCTGTCCTCTTAATTGATTGATGTTTAGCCCTAAATAACTGGTTAATTGATTTTGCATACCTTATTTGTGTGCCCTTGATTTTCCTACCTTACTTGTTTACTCTACTGTATGCTATATAATCCTTTCACCATTCTGATTTTAGAAGACGCCTACGCTTACAAGCACACATTGAGACATAAGCTCACACTTATAAACCTACACTTACGCACTTACACTCACACAACTTGAGTTCTTTCTATCATTCTGATTTGCTACATTGTCTAGTCGGCTGAAAGCCAAGGCTAGACTCTTGAATTCCAATTGCCCTCACCTTCCTGTTTACTTTTTCCCTAACTGGTATGCCCTAATTCCTGTTATCTTGTTCTATTCTATATGCTTATGTAGTCAGTTTTATCACAGACCTCAACATGCATCTGTTTGGTACACGATTCCTGACCATCTCTTTCTCAACTGTTATACCTTAGTTCTTATTGTCTCGCTCTGTTACATGATGATTATATGATTAGTTTACTTCAAGCTTCGATATGCTTCTGTTTGCCATATGTTTGCATTCTTCCTGACTAGTGTGCCTTAATTCCTATTAACCTACTCTGTTCTATATGCTTGTGTGTTTAGTTTACCTTAGCATGTCGAGCCCATGATTTCTGTTTACTTCTTTCTAGATTAATATTCTTTAGTTCCTGCTACCCTGTGTTATGTATTTGTTTGCTTTGTTATTTCAAACTTCAGCATACTTCTGTTCAATATACGCCTATATGGTCCCACCTAGTGATAATTAATAGACTAGGTAATCTTTAGTAATGTGAAACCTTGATGGATTCAGTTGTATGCTCCCTATTCAGAACAGGTTTAGGTATTGCCAATACGTGTGGTCAGTTTTATTTGTAATTCAAGTATTCTGCCCTTGTTGTGATTGCCTTAATGCCGGTATATTATCTATGTCTGAACTAATACCAATTTGCTAAATATGGACTTTGTTCTGTTTGTAGTCTTGTAATTTGAACCTATTTGTTCCTCAAAAACCAAACTGTTTTCTAAAACTATCCCCTCCCCCTTACATATACTATTTTCAAACTTCTACTCTTAGTTATCTAGGTTCCTACCACCTCCATTGTGAGTACTGCCTAGGGTCCCTGAGACTCTTTTGAACTCTGACACATTGGAGCTGGTTTCCAATCTCTTATGAATTTTGTGTTGAATGTATGGATGGAGTCTGAGCATTGCCCGGGGTCCTTGAGGCTCTTTGGGAACTTTGACACACTAGAAGCCTGGTTTAAGGTGTTGTAGATCTTGCTACTGTTTCAAGACTGTTGTGCTGAAGGCCTGGCTCTCAGGTTTATGTTGGGCCTATTAAGGCTCCCTATAGTGTAATGAATAGCTTTGTGTAATTCATTCATATTGGTCTGTAATAACGTAATAATCCTTGTAAAACTAGATATAGGGTTATTAGTAAAAGCTGGGGAGGGATTTTTATATATCTTTGTTCAAACTCAGGTAAAAATCCTGCTTATAGGTTATTGTGTGAATATTACTGCTCGCCTAGAAATCATGCCTATAGGATCTTGTCTCATCGTTTGGAATCTGGAGTTCATACTTGGCATCCTAGAAATCCTGCTTATAGATTGTTTATCAATTCTGCATCAAGAACCCATGTTTCACGCATATTTTCAATCTCAATGTGCATTAGATATCATGTATATAAGGCCTTCTTTGTGTAAATTACTGAACTTGTATGGCATTCTGTTAACGTCTCTGCCCACTTAGATTTCATGCCTATAGGAAACAAATATAAAATCAGTTTCTGCAATTTAGATATCATGCCTATAGGAAATTTAAAATCAGTTTCTGCAATTTAGATATCATGTCTGTAGGATCTAAAATCAGTTTATGCAATTTAGATATCATGTCTATAGGAAATAAATAAATCGGTCCCAACACCTAGAAATCATGTTTATAGGAGCTAACTGATTCTGTAAATTAGAAAGCATGTCTATAGGATCTAAAGAGATAAAAACCTGTTTGTTAAAATCAGTAACTGGTTTATAAACTGTAGTCGTTAATTAAAAATTTTAGGTACCATGCCTATAGGATTCTACTCCGGTCCTCACTTAGGCAAGCCTGTAGGGTAATTAAGAATTCTGGGTCTAAAAACTGTGATGTTTTGCTGCTTGGAACATGCCCAGATTCAGAATATTAAAAAAATCAGTAGGCAAACTGATAGGTACTGCTGCTCGCTTTAATAAAGCCGTTGTGTTTATGCTCATCTAGATATCCTTCCTATGAGGTCTTAAATTGATAAAATTCTCTGTTTGAATTGTGTGCATTTGCTGTTTATTTGTGGAGGTTAACATGTGCCTTTATTTGCTCCTTATGTGACAGTCCTATTGGAATTTTGTTTGTCGCTTAGTTTTCTCATTTTTAAGCAACGTAGGTGAGTCTAGATCCATCCAAAAATAGAAGTCCTAAACACCTCCAGGACTACAGGTAAGGGACGGGTGTGCACGCATAAGGTACGCATTAGAAGCTGCTAGAACGCTTAGGTAACAACTGAAAGATAGTAATGGGGTAGTAAAGGAGATGATGACCTGTGCGCTAATGCTATGCGTAACACCCCAATTTGAGGAAAGTTACCAAGTATTGCATGGAAATGATCCTATAGGCTAAAAAACCTAGGACACCTTTAACGTAATTTGTCTAAATTGTTTTCCATAAGACTAATTCGCTTAATTGAGTTTGGACGGGACCCACCGCTGTGGACCTCGAGGGGTGCCTAACACCTTCCCCTCAAGGTAATTTCGAGCCCTTACCCGATCTCTGGTGACGTAATTGGTTTTATGAGTTATTTGCTTTAGGTGCCCTAACGCACCTTAATCCGTTCGGTGGCGACTCTTCAAATCCCAATCCCAATCCCAAAAGGCAAGGAGTTGTCCCAAAAATGTTGAAACCCGGACTCCGCGAGGAAAAAAGGGGGCGCGACACTATACATAAGTAAAGTTGTTCTTCTGCCTTCGGCGTGTGAATCAGCGGCGGGCTCGACAAGTATCGCTTAAGTTCCTCCAAAGCTCGTTGACATTCTGGGGTCCATGTGAAGTTGTTCTTCTTTTTCAGCAACGAGAAGAATCGATGACTTCTGTCGGACGATCTCGAGATGAATCGACCCAGAGCTGCAATGCGCCCGGTTAGCCTTTGTACGACCTTCACATTATCCACTACTGCGATATCCTCGATTGCTTTGATCTTATCGGGGTTGATCTCGATTCCTCGATTTGATGCCATGAATCCGAGAAAATTGCCGGACCCGACCCCGAATGCACATTTCTCCGGGTTGAGCTTCATGTTGGATTTCTTCAGTATACTGAAAGCTTCCTGCAGGACTTAACTAGCATGTCATCAATATAAACTTCCATAAATTTCCCTATTTGGTCTTCGAACATTCGGTTTACTAGGCGTTGATAGGTTGCACCCGCATTTTTTAGTCCAGAAGGCATTACATTATAACAGTAGCTACCACACGAAGTTTTTTCCTGGTCTTCCGGTTTCATTTGTATTTGGTTGTACCCGAAATAGGCATCGACAAAACTGAGGATCTTGTAGCCGGTCGTGGCATCGATCATGCGATCGATGTTAGGCAAAGGAAAAGAATCCTTGGGGCATGCATTATTTAGGTCTTTGTAGTCTACACACATCCTAAGCTTGTTTCTCTTTTTAGGGACTACTACTACATTCGCTAACCATTCGGGATATTTTACTTCCGAGATGGATCCTATTTTGAGAATTTTGGTTACCTCGTCTTTGATGAAAGTTTGTTTGACCTCGGACTAAGGCCTCCTTTTTTGTTTCACCGGGCGGAACTTCGGGTCCAAGCTTAGTTTATAAGTAGTGATCTCCAGTGGGATCCCTGTCATATTAAGATGGGACCAAGAAAAACAATCCATATTAGCTATAAGAAATTGAATAAGTATTTTCCTGAGCTCGGGAGTTAACCCCGTGCCCAGGTATACCTTTCGATCGGGTAAATGCTTGATCAATATGATTTGTTCCAGCTCTTCGACCGTTGATTTTATTGGCGTCAGAATCATCGGAGATTATGAAGGATCGAGGTATCATATAGTTATCATCCTCGTAAGTCCCCTTCTCCTCTAGTTGGGCCGAGGCCGATGTCTGTGGTTGCTATTTAACCTCCTGCTTTCCCTTCAAACTTGACCCTTTTGTTGATGAAAGCGCCGATATCGGTATCACTTCATCAATGGCAAACATTTCCTTGGTGGAGGGTTGCTCCCCGTAGATTGTTTTGACTCCCTTTGGCGTTGGGAATTTTAGAACCTGGTGAAGGGTCGAAGGCACTACCCTCATGTTATGGATCCACTATCTCTCGAATAGGGCATTATACCTCATATCGCCCTCGATCACATGGAACTTCATTTCTTGGATGGTCCCAGCCATGTTTACTGGCAAAGTTATTTTGCCTTTGGTGGTTTCACATGCCATATTGAAGCCATTTAGAACTCGGGCCACGGGTACAACCTGATCCTGTAGGCCGAGCTGTTCTTCAACCCTCGATCGAATTATGTTGGCCGAGCTACCTGGATCAATCAAAACACGTTTAGCTTGAGTATTACTCATAAGTACATATATTACCAGTGCGTTGTTGTGGGGTTGTTTGATCCCTTCTGCATCCTCGTCATTGAAAGAGAAAGTTCCTTCTAGTACGTAATCTCGAGTTCGCTTCTCCCTTGTGATCAACACCTTGGTCCATTTTAGTATTGGTCCTTGAGGAGTATCGACCCCTCCAACGACCATGTGAATCACGTGCAGTGGTTCTTCTTGCTCGTTCCATCTACTGGAATCTCTGTTTTTGAAGTGATTCTTGGCCCGATCGCTTAAGAATTCCCGAAGGTGCCCCTCGTTGAATAATCGGGCTACTTCCTCCCTTAGCTGCTCGCAATCTTTTGTTTTATGGTCATGGGTGCCATGATACTTGCATATTTGGTTGGGATTTCTCTGGGCTGGATCAGTCTGCAGAGGCCGAGGCCATCTAGTACCCTTGATACATCCGATGTCTGATATGACAGCTGGTGCGTCTACGTTGAAATTATATTCTGACAATCGTAGCGCTTCTTTGGGCCCGACATCCCTGTCGAAATCTCTCTTGCTCATGAGTCCCCGTGAACTTTGACCTCAATCATTTCTCCTCTCATTCTGTGCAAAGTTTCACCCAAACCCGCTGCTATTACGGTCTCCGTTATACGGTTGATATCGATCTCTATTCGACCTTGGTTCTCGGTCGATATCCCTCTTGATTCGATCCACGGGCCTGTTAGGATAAACGGACCCAGAAGGAATCCCTAGTTGATCATCCTCGACCCTGATCTTCGACTGATACCGATTATGTACATCGGCCCAAGTGACAACTGGATACTCGATCAAATTTTGCTTCAAATACTGTGAAGCTATGGAACTTCGAACGTTGAGTCCTTGAGTGAAAGCTTGAACAGCCCAATCATCGATGACCGGTGGAAAATCCATTCATTCCGTTTTGAATCGAGATACAAATTCCCTGAGCATCTCGTTATCCTTCTGCCTTACCTTGAAAAGGTCTGACTTTCTTGTTGCAGCCTTATTGGCTCAGCCGTGTGCCTTTACAAAAGAATCTGTAAGCATAGCAAACGAATCAATAGAATTAGGCGGTAAATTATGATACCATATCATGGCGCCTTTCGATAGAGTCTCCTCGAATTTCTTCAGCAATGCAGATTCAATTTCGTCATCTTCCAAGTCGTTTCCTTTGATGGCGCACGTGTATGAGGTGACGTGTTCATTTGGATCAGTCATCCCGTTATACTTAGGAATCTTGGGCATATAGAACTTCTTGGGGATTGGCTTCGGAGAGGCAATTGGGGGGGAAAGGTTTTTGTACAACCTTTTTAGAATTCAATCCTTTCAATATCGGTGGTGCCTCCGGGATTTGGTTGACCCTGGAGTTATAGGTTTCCACCTTCTTATCATTTTCCTCGATCTTCTTTTCCCTTGTCTCGATCTGCTTTGTCAATTCTTCGAGCATTTTTATAATAGCAGGATTGTCTCCGATTCCTTCTCATTCGATTTTCTCGAAGCCGATTCGACTCTCTGTATAACTTCTTGGGATGGCTCGAGTTCGACCCTGCTTGGTGTTTGGTTCTGATTTTAGAGCTAAGCTATTGCTGCCTGTTGGGCCTGCAACATTTTGAAGATTACTCACAGGAAAATCCCGCCATCTTCACTGCTACATGCATTCTGAGTAGCTGATCGGGTGCCCCCACGGACGTTGCTTTCAGGATCGACGGCCAAATTTCCATTGATGGCTACATGAGAACTGACGTCGATCAGATCTACAGCCGGAACTCCATCGAGGCCAGCAGGGTAATGTTCTCATCCTCGCCGTGGTGGCTGAGATCATTGTCAATGTGTTGAGGTGCTGACTGAGAGTTTGACATTTTTTAATCCTGTAATCAAAGACACTTCAAAGAACAAGCGTAAAATAGTATATGTTACGAAAATTTGTACCAGGCAATCACTATTATTCTTAGCCCCACGGTGGACGCCAAACTGTTTACCCTAAAAACAGATAACAATTGAATTTATACTATAGTTTTAAGGACACGTGATTTACTTAGCACAAATTGAGAGAAAACATAAATTGACAATGAAATTAACTGCGAATATAAATGAAACAAACCAAATAAAATGTATACCTTTAATCCTTGAGCTAAATCGCCCTCAAATTAAGTGAGTTATGAACACAGTAACAAGAATATTGAAAGCTTAAGAGAAAGTGAATATGCAGCTTTATGTAACGTGAATATGATGATGAATACAAATGATCAACTCCCCTTAGTCCTGCTCCTAGTACAATCCTAAATACGGTAAGAAATCACATGATTAACAATCGACCTCTCCTTGATACGTGCCGAGATTTCCGCCGTGATCCTCGCCTGGTCGCGTATATCTTGGCTTTCCGTTTTTTGGTTCGACATGCTTCCCTCGACCTTGCTCGATCTCTTTTCCACTCGGTTTCGGTCTTGGCTGATCTCGATCTCGTTCGGTCCATGAGTCACGAGCTTGGCCATCTAACTTCGTTCCGTGATCCGGTACGACATGGGGTGGAACCTTGGCCTGTCATGCCCCGGTCTCGACTAGTCATACTAAAAAGGGCAAGCCCGATTTGACCGTATACATCAGTGCTTTTGGAAATCCAGATGTTTTCTCTCTATTTTAATTTATATTTATATAATCAAATTTTCTTTTCAATTCATTCAAAATTAAATTTTAAAATAATTTAAATTCATTTTCTTTTAATTTATCTTTAGTGATTAGTTTGCTAGGGCATGCTTACGACCAAAAGTTTTTAAAGCCTTATAATCACACTAATTTTATGACATGTTATTCTCAAACTTTGTGATCAATCAAATAGGTTCGCATAATTTGAAATAAATGGAGTAATATGTATATTTTATAATGGGTATTTGAATTAATTTGGGTGTACTTCGTTTATCTTACAAAATTTTACTACCTCTTTTACTGATATAAGTAGATAATTTTGCCCATCAAAACTTAAGAATATACTGTCTCTTACCAATATAATTATCAATAACGCTGCCATCAAAACTTAGATGAAAGTAAGTAATCACCTGACACTCTTTCACCTCCATTAAATTAAAATTTTGAACACTAGTTTTTCATGATTTTCATTCCAAGGTCCTTAAGTGTATGACTTGTGTAAACTTCATCTTTTAATTAACCGTTGTTAATTACAATTAATATGTATTTATTTAATTTACTTTGATTTGATGCATGCAGTGGGTTCCTAATTTTTCATTGAATTAGCTAGATCTTCCTCCACAACCACAAGATTAGACCGTACTAATATATGTGGTTTTGTTCGTATGCTTTTGGTTTATGATTCGACGAAATCAGATTCCTTTGATTTTCTTGAGGACTCCTGCTGTTTCATGCACTTGACCAACTGGCGATTTATTTTAATTGTACCACTAGCTAGTTAGGTTTTTCATGCACCAAGAAGTCACGGGTTCAAGTCGTGGAAATAGCCTCTTGCAGAAATACAGGGTAAGATTGTGTATAGTAGATCCTTGTGGTCCGGGTCTTTTTCGAAACCCGCACATAATGGGAGCTTAGTGCATCGGGCTGCTTTTTTTACTCGGCTCGAGGTGGATGACTCAACCTTCTCTTGCTAATCTGCCGACAAATTTAGGAAGATTTATTTAATTTAATTAAATGTAGTAATTTTTTCTTCTTTTACAAATCTTTTCTGAAGTTAAAGGAGAATAGGACCAAAATATTCCCTTAAGAGCTGCTAAAATTTTGTCAGGAGCAGTAGTGGGGGACTTTAAATAGTTAATTCCTCACATTTACACCTTTTAAAAGATGAGCTGAACAGTGATTCGCTAACAGCTTGTTTGGAAGGTTGTTTCCCCGTTGTATCGTATTGTATTATTATCCCAAAATAATATTTATTTTGATTGTACTGTATTATTAAATCCATTGTCCTGGAACAATAAAAATTCCCCTTTTTTGAAACAAGCGATTTGGTGTGTGATAATAGGTGAATTTGACTATAATCACACCTTAAATAATCACCTTCTTGTGTAGTTTTAATGCTAAAAAGATAACAAAATGCTCTTATTAGTGCTTTTCATGATTTGCAGGTGATATATGTATAAGGAAGACTAAGGAGCAGTTTTGGAGTCAAAATTGATGAAAAAGAGGCCAACTGTGAAATTTCCCAAGTGAACCATGCAAAACAGGCCGAAGATTCAGAGCACTGGGTCCACCGCGGTTCCACCGCGACCGCGGCAGAACCGCGGTGGAAAGCAGCTGCAGAATTTCAAGGATTCCGCGAGGGTGTTTGGCCGCGGTTCTACCGCGACCGCGGCAGAACCGCGGCAGGCGCAGACACTTCAGGGACCAAAGTGTCAATTACGGGATTTTTAGACCTAAACCCTATTTAAAACATTAGACTTCACCCAAGAGAGGCATGTATTGATTTTTAAGGTTTCTTAGCAAGGAAAACCATTGTGAGAGAAGACTCCAAACATCTTTCTTCTTTTCTTTTGATTTTTATGATGAATTCAATCTTAGTTTATTTTCCCATAGCCATGAGTAGCTAAATTCCTTGTCTAAGGTTTTGATGGAACCTATTGGGTGATGAACTTCTTGTTTATGTGAATACAAATTGCTAGTTTAATCTCTATTTGTTCAACTTCGTGCTCGTTGTAGTTAATTGACAGGATCCTCAATTAGCTGTGCCTATTTAGTGTGCATAACTTGGAAAATAGTGCATATTTAGGGTATTGTTGAATAACACCACTCCTAGATTATTAGAGGAATCTATAATTGCGGGTTTAAAGGCGGGATTAGGGATAACGAAGCCTTGGGTGTAATCTAAAGTGAATCGTGCTAAATAAAGTAAGCTAGTGTATCTCGGGAGAGTGCAATAGTAAATTACTGTGATTACTCGGGAGAGATTTGCGGTAAGATTAGCGTTCATGATTGATAGAGATGTGTGGGTAAATTTGTATGAGCATAAACAGAAGGGATTCCATCAACAGGGGAAGTCATTGCCTTAACTTTTCCTCATAATTGTTTACAACCTCATTAGTTTAGTTTACAGCTATTTAGTTACTTGCAAGCTAGTCGTTAAAGAACACTCAACTGAGATTTGAATATTTGAGAAGCTGGTTCTGAAGAATTAGTGGGTCTGAAGATAGTAGTTGGTAGGTTAACTCTCTGTGGATTCGACCCTG